TACAAGTCAATTAACTAGTCAGTGATTCTAACAACTTATCTTTTGTGTTCTTTTTAATTAACGGTACTGTTTCTATTATCTTGTACGTTTTCTGTATGACTGTTTTAGAATTTCTTGGTTACATTACCATAATTTGTGGTTTTTCACAGATGAAAAGATAAAAATTACTTATTATTTTTTAAAAACATATTCCCAGACTATCAATAGTTACGTTGCCAAAAATTATTAACGTATCGAAAGAAAAAAATTAAAATATAAATTTTAATTATTAAATCATGATTATATGATGCATTAAAGAAATAAAACACATTTTTCATAAAATCATCTTATTTTTTAACACTCACATGTACTAAGCAATCTGATTTTGCTTTAAAAAAGGCGGATGTGGATTCCGCAAACTTAATATTGCATACCAGCTATCTACCAAACGCATCTCATCGTTGTTCACTCAAGTCATTTTGTGGCAAAATATTATATTTCTGCAGAATTTTTGCTGTGGTTTTTTTTTTTTTTTTTCATTGGTGGTAGGCTCCACAAATGGTATTTTAAGAGTGAGTTAAAGGCAAAAAATATCATGATTTGAAAACGCTTGGAACTTGGAATGCAACAAAAATAATACAATAAGAAATGTTGACATTTTTGAATGAAGAATTGTTATGAGCATGGTTGGCAGAAGAACAGTACGTGCATGGTTGTCTGAATTTGGCAATTTCTTAAAATATGATGACTTCTACTAAGCTGGAAAAAAGCATGGAATATGTTTGCTATGAAATAGCCATTTGTGTGTGATAATTTATAATGAATATGGTGATTGTGATTATCATGAATGTGATGTGAGATTATTACAGAAGTTTGACATTTAAGTATGCATTTACCCAGGGGCAAAGAGAATTTGAATAAAAGAAATTATGTAGATGAAACCAAGATCATAGTGCAGCTTTATTTTCAATTTGAAAAGCTCATTTGAGATGTTTTTGTAATTGTGAAAGAAATTCTTGGTAAAGCGGGTTTTTTTTTTTTTTTTTTTTTTTTTCCTTGGAATAATGAGCATTTGGAATTTTGATTTTTTTTTGGGTTTTTTTTTTTTTTTTTTGTATAGTTGAACAACGACGATATGAAAATTTAAAGTAGTAAAACTTAATCTATTGACAGATTAATTTCTTCATATGAAACAGTTTTCTCTTCAGCAAATTGAAATGTAGAGATTCAAATTAAAATAATAAACTGAGTCTGTTTTCTGTTGGTAATTGATGAATATTTTATTGTGTTGAGACATTTCTTGCTTCAGTTAGCAAATGCCATTGCTGTTTATATTAAAAAATTTTATATAGTAATACTTTTTTATTCTTAATGGATTCTAACTTACGGATCATCACTTATAGTTTTTCTTTAGAATTTAAGTCATATTAACTCTGACTTAAATTATAAAGAAAAACTGGAAGTGGTTGTCAGTGTTTAAAAACTACCGTTGATACAAAAATGCCATACATGATCTTTTGGGACTCCACAGACTGTGTATAGAAAGCATGTAAAACAAATATTTGGTCTTGTTGCAGGCTATCTCAACAGTGAGTACTGAAATGTATTATATAACTAACTGCCTACTAGTAGCCAAGCAATAAAATTGCTAAAACACTGGTAATTTGATGTGGGTTCATATCATGGCTGCAGGGAATTTTTGTGGTTTTCTGCGTGTTTAATTTAATTACATGCCAGTTTCCTCAAAAAATTATCCACAAAGTCATTTCTTGCCTTAAATGTGTAGTCCTCATATGCTTTACCATAATCCAATGAATAATTAGATACTACTGTCTTTTTAAATTTTTCATTTCACTTAATCTTTAAATTACACACAAAACCTTTATTTAAATCACTTGCCATCATCTGAAATTAAAATATTTATTTTAAATTTTTGCCACAGCTATTGCATTATTATGTATTTTCTTTTCATAAAACAATTATGACATCTTGCACTTAAAATTGGTGCTTAGTACCCTTAAACTCTTTAACATTCATAGTGCATATGATGTACCAATTTGGTCAATTTTCATAAAATCCTCTCTTCCATAGCATCTTCAGATTCTAGCCTATGCTGGCATTTGACTATTTTTTGGTTTATACAGCCAAAAGTCTTTAATCCAGACGTCCATAATCCGGAACTCAAAGCTGCAAACTTTCTGAGCATGCGTAAACGCATAATGCGTTTATGTATGCGCATAATACCTTTACGCATGCATATAATATGTTTACCCATGCACGTTTAATATATAACAGACGGTATAAGCTAAGCTAAAATTATCTAATTATCTATTTCAGTTAATGTTGCAGATTGCGTTGTTTTTTAATCTTTGAATTGGATCCGGCTTATTATTTTTTGCAGACAGTTAGAGCAATTTTATAAAAGTAAACTTGAACTGCATGATTAGAGGTGATATTTAGTACTAATTGCTTCAGCTCAAGAATGTCAGGTCAACTCATTCCCTTGCCTTCCTCATTTCTAAAAACACTTTCCTGGAACTTCCTGGCTGTTGACCTTTTAAATTCATTCCTTTTAAACTTTATGCTATAAACCACGTTGTTCATAACAGGACATGATCCTTTCATGTACTACCTGTATAGTTTCAGAGTAAGTCAGACCAATCTGTGACTGTGTGAATGTCTGCAACCCCAACCAATATATATTCCATTGTGCTGTTCATAAGCAATGCCATTTACAGCAACCAGCTTTGCAGCACTGGGCTCAATGGCTATCTAGATTGACACAAAATCACAGCAAGTCTGGAGCACATATGGATAAAGCTTGCAAGGAGACAGAACAGTGCGTTAATTTCAAACTTTCAAACCTTAATAATAAAACTATATTTCCATTGAATCATCATGCTAATTCAAGTTCCTGGTACTGCAGTTAAAATACAAGAAGCCTGGTAACTTACAGTATGGTTGGAGATAACAATTTTATTAACCATTCACTCACAAGAATTTCAAATAAAGTAAAATTCTTACAATATAATTACTTCACAAACACTGTGAAAATTCAGTTAGCCATTGCCTTTCTACAGGAACTGTATATTTTTAATGATTTTCTCCCTTGGTTTGCCAAATAGTTTTCAGGCAGTTTATTTGCATTCTTAGAAATGCAAGTAACTTTTAGAGGTAGAAGGTAGATGCTATAAGAAGCATATTAAAATATAGAAAACTAAGGAAATAAATCTATAATGAATTGCTAGGTTTAAAAATGGGATAAACCATTTAAAAAAAAAAATGTGTGTGGAAAAGGGAAAATAATAACTTCCCCTTAAAGTGAAGCTTCTCTACATTTACAATTTTATTTAAACATAAAAGCTTTTTTTAAAAAAATCTTTCAGTTGATGTATGTTGAAATAGAAGCTACTTATTGAGGCAAAAACTCATTCAAGTTTTCCTTTTATAAAACTGTCATTCAGTCATTCATTTGGAATATATTCATTTTAATCTATAACCAAACATTTAGAAATATATTATGATAATTTAGTATTTATCTCTAAGAAGTGTATTTACTTAATTCATTTATTACATGTTTTGAAGAAATATCATTAACACAAACTATACATGGAAGTTTTATATGCAAGCCTTTTTCTTCCTTGTAAAATAGCATATTTACATGTCCATCAGTCCCTCTCATATATTTTCTCTCTCCAGCATTTTTAGTAGCTTAGATTTAGTATAATTTTCAGCTTCTTTAAATTCAAGAAGTAGACTCTTCTTGAAGAACTTTTAATTCTAGAAATTTGTCAGATAGATATTCTTTGTACTTGTTTTTTTTTTTTTTTTTTTTTTTTTTTTTAAAGACTGTTAATTCAAGTTTTCAAAATCTTAATCAAAGCCATTCATCTTTCCCTGATAGAAAAGGAGATGAATACACTTTATAAAAATATGTGTACAGTTTTAATCTTCAGAAAATGTTTATAGAGATCAGGAAATATATTTTTATTATTCTTTGTGGAAATGAACATTTCTTCTCCTTCAGAAAAAGCAAAATAGTTTCAAACATTCAGTGTCATGCTATTGTTTTTCTCCCCATAATTTGGGTACGAAACATATACTCGGCAGTTTTCTGTTTGCTTAAATATTTTTAAAATTTAGCTCTATATTCTTTAAAGAATCTTGTAATATAAGTTATACAGCTTAACAAGAAATTTTGCTTTTACCTGCAGTCTAAGGAATATATAGCAACATATAATATAGAAATTTTAAAAAATACGGGGGGACTATTGAAACTATAACTAATTACAAAGCTAGTGCTCCTAATTATTTTAGGTATGCTTTAATTATATGAATTGTACCATTACTCTTCATTTCAGAACAGTTATTGTACAAAATTTTTTCCATCTCGGTTTTCAAATAAAAAAATAAAAATGATAATAAAAGTGAATAATAAAATTTTTGTGAATAAATATGGGATGTTTAAAATTGCAGGACGTTCTTATACTCTGGCTAATGATGTTCAGTTTTTATGTAAACCTTCAATTATAATCTTAGCATCCTAGATTATAATCAGAAGGTTTAAGGTTTTTTTTCCTTTGTGATGTGATTATAACACAACTTTGCTCCTCTAAAACATTCATCATTCTGTTTTTATTTTTTTAATATACCTATCTTTAATGTGTATGTGTACATATACATATATGTATCGTGAATCTCATCTGAGTGTATCAGCTAATATGAAAAATAACATTGAGCAGAGTAAAGTAACCTGAAGTTTGCTTATTTATGTTTAAAACCTAGTGCTTTTTTTTTTTTTTTTTTTTTTATGTTTTTTGTAATTTTCTTCATTTGAAGTGTGTTAAAATTAATTTTATTGTATATTTAAATGTAGCAAAAGTTTATGTAATTTTGATGTTTTTATTCAATTTTAACTCCTCCAAAGGCAAAATGAAAAATACCTTAATAAAATTTTTCTTGTTACTGAAAATTTTTATGTTGGATTTTTTTTCTTTTAACTTTAAAAATATCTGTTCCAGGTTTTTTCTATAGTTGTTTTCGGGTGCATAGGCTCTGAAGGATGGATGAAAGACAAGTGTCTATACAACAACGACATAAATGCTTGCAATTTTGGAACAGGAATTGGCGTGATTGCCTTTTTAGGAAGTTTGGCACTTTTAGTGACAGATATTATGTTTAACAGTATCTCCAGTATCAAGGTTCGTAGGCGAGCTGTAATTGCAGACATTGCATTTTCAGGTAACTGAAATATACTTTTAAACAGTGTTTATTTAATATATTTTTATGCAGTTTCACTGCTGTGTACTTTTTTTATTTAAAAATGTGATTATTATTTGTATCAAGCCAATTCTGTTGTTCTAATAAAAGATAAGACTGAATACAATAGACTCCTGATTAAGTAGTTTAAGAAGTTTGTATGAGTGGATCTTTTAACGGCAGTTAATTAACTTAAAGGTATACAGAACAGTATTCATATGCAGTAAATCAGATTTTAAATATATATTTAGATCTTTATATACCTATCTGTCTGTGTGTACATATATGAAAATATTTGTATAATTAAAATTGTCATATATAAGTGATTTTCATTTGTTTTCAGTCCAAAAATTCAGTATTGAGTTTCCGATAATTAAACATAAAATAGGATTTCCACAATAAGTTTTTACTATGATGTCTGTCTGTCTGTATATGTATGATGATGTTTTGGTCCGCGATACCCCTTATATTAATTTTCCAAAAATTTTTGTTTTCCATATTTGAGCTTTATTTTAAAATATGGAGTTGATTAAATTTTGTGTAAAATTGGACAACTAGAAATAGTACTTTATTTAAAGCCTTTAACAGTTCTTAATAGACATCTAGAAGTGGTATTTTAATTGAATCCCATAATAATTTTTAATGAAAAATTATTACCAGTTACTGTTATCAGAATTTTGGATTATGTTAAACTATCATCCCAAACTTTTCAATTTAAGGCTTTTTATATCAATGGGAACAACATATTAGGTTTTGGCTAAATTGATAAGTGGCAGTTCAGACTTTCAAACATTTATTTGAAGATCTGAACAAATTTTAATGAGAAAATATGATGCAATCCAAAACTTCTCAAATTTGGTACTTAAAACTCATATATTGCTGCTGTTAGGACTTATTTCGCTTGTCCGTAATCAGAGCAAGCCCATGAAATTCATTATGGCAGGAAGTCAAGATTCCACATGTTGTTGGCAATAGCCTTGGGCACCATGCAGGTGACAGTACGACTTTGACGAGTTACGCTCCAAATTTTGAAGTAAGCACCCCGAGGGGATGCGGTTGAGGGTCTCCCATCCCTCTTTCCCTACTACCAACCTCTCAAGAGAACGTTCAGCTCACCACATATTGAGCACAACCATGCCACACAAACACTGCATATTTACAAGAATGCATGCCTTCTTGAGATTTGAATCCAGGCCTTTTGGTACGACAGTCAGTATCACTAGCCACTATCCCATTTGGGCAGTGTATATGCATGTAAGATGCACATGCAGTTGTGTCTGGGGACATATTAGATTTTGACTACATATAATAATCTGAAATGGTGCTTTACTTGAAACTCTTATCAGATTTTTGGTGAAAGATGTGGAATCACTAGTCTAAAATAATGAAGCACATATTAGGGGTTATTTTTTTATATCTAGACTTGACATTTATTTATATCATATTGAAGAGGGAAATGATTTTTTATAACAGTGATTCATTTGCAGAATTTCAGAACTCTAGTAAAGTAATCATGCTACCAAAAATGCCTTTGTTATTCTTTTCCATTCTCGATGATGATGAGGCACAAGAGCAAATACCAAATTTGGAAACACTGCTATCCCAGAATGTACTGTAGTCACTATTCAGATGTAATTCAGAAAACAAGCATTGTTTATTGATGCCTAAATATCGCGGGATATGAAGATCAATATGTATTTAGATTTGCTGATGCTATATAAAAAATACGAAAATATGAAGATTAATATGAGATATGAAATTCATTTCAAAGGATTTATTTTAGATATATTATAAACACTTAATTTTCTTTAATTCAAAACAAATTAAATTACATGTTATTCACCTGCCAAGTTAAATGCAATTTTTAATGAAAAGATGTAAAGGGGTAAACATTTAATTATGTTGATAGATATGTAGAAAAACCAGTTTCTACACATGGACAATTATTTTAATAAAATAGAATCCAAAGTTTTGTGATAAAGACCTGTCTATGAATTGGTATTTAAAAAATAGAATAGGCAGGCGGTTGTGTGATGGCTACATCAGGTTTTTTTAATAAGCGGTTATGAATCGTAAGCTTGAGAACTTTCACTGGGATGAATGTTTTTGTTTAATTTCTGGAAAAAAGTAGTGCATTATTTCTGATTGCAGTGCACTGCACTTTTTCCTAGAACTGGCAGCAAAACATAATTTGTAGCGGAATAAAAAATGGTTTTAAAAAATATGGCTGATTGAGAAAGACCTGATAAGAGAGAATTTAGTGTAAAGATTAAATTTTAAAGCTGATGTGCATCTCTTGTATATTTTTAAGCTAAATATTAAAATATTTTTAAGTATGCTTTAAAATAATGTTATCATTTAATTTTATTTTAAAACATTTTTTTAAAAAAATTGTTATAATAATTGAAGCTCTTTTTAAGTCTTAAGGCCGGTTTACACTTCTCCCAGTGAACTTCGAGTGACTTTCGGGGAGCCCCTCGTCCAAGCGTCTCGAACCAAGTGAACAGACCTGTACTCTGATAGATTGTTCACACACAATCAGAGCAGACTGACAACTCGCCTCCATTTGCTTGCAAAATGGATACCGATGTTCAAGTTGCTGTGCTTGAAGTTTGCGAAGCAATTCCAACAAATTAATTTCTGTTCTGGGGAAAAGAAGAAAAGCAAATCAAAGCGTGACTGTGTAGCTAGCTCCTCATGATGAATTGGGAGCATTAAATCAACTTTGATGCGAGAATATCCAAAGTTACTCAAACTTAATCAGAATGGGTGAAGGATAATTTGAAACTTTATTGGAAATGGTCACTCCACTTATTCAAAAAAAAAAAAAAAAAAAAAAAAAAAATTCTTTCAAGATGCTCTACCAGCAGAATTAAAACTGATAAGATAGTGCTTCGGTTTCTGGAGACGGGTGGCTCCTGCAGTTCTCTGCAATATTTATTTTGAGTGCCAAAATGCGCAATCAGCATATTTATTCCAGAAGTGTTTGAGGTCATTTTCTGTGTATGAGGTTGAGCAAAAATTATTAATCCTTTGCTTGAACTCTCCAACACCCTCAAATTTTAACATATTAATAATAGTCTCATTCGCCTTATGTCGTCGATTTTTATTTTAATACTTCTGACTGATTGTTTGTAAATAAAATCTAATTTGCAGTTCAAATAAAAAGGGAAGTCTATAAAACAAAATTTCTAAACTTTAAATTATATTTTATTGAATGAGTAGAAACTGGTTTTTCAAAATTTACATCAATAAAATAAAATGAATGTTTGCCCTTATATTTTTAATTGAAAACTGTATTTTTTGGGTAGTTGAATTATTTTATAGGGTAGTTGAATAACATATAATTTTTTTTTGATTAAAGAAAATTCAGAAATAAATGTATTTAAAATAAACATTTGAATCTGATTTCTTCTATGTTTTTTCAAACCTAAATTCATTTCAGTAGTTATATCCATCGGAGTTATTGCCCGGGTAGATTTTCAAATTGCTCTGAGTTACTGCCCGGACAGATTAACAAAAATGTGATTAAGTAAATTATAATAAAATTACACAGATGCTTATTTCATGCATGCATCTTCTCACTATTTCTTTCATGTAATTTCAGTAATGCCTTTCTTCTGACAGGAACTTTTCACACTGTATCTCTGAAAGCTTTCATCATTAATATATGTATGTGTACTTTCTAATGTTTTTGCATATATTGTTACGAGGTAAAAGGATTTTTTTCTTGAAAGAATAAATATTACTGCATTTTTCTTGCAGCTTGGCAAATCTATAATTGATAATATTTTTTGCAACTGAAAGAATGATCATTATATGCTTTGGGTGTTATCTCTTATATTTAAAATATGTTTCTTGGAGGAGCAGCTTTGTTTTATGCTTATTGTATGTGTGCAAAAAGAAATTTCCAAATGGTGCCATGTGGAAATTTCTTTTGCGAGTTAAAACACAGCTGTTTTTCCCTCGAGGTAACATTGCACTGTTGAGGGAAAATGAAAGGCAATTTACTAAACCCCTTAGTTGTGAGGTACATAGGTCATCGGACAAGTGGAAGGGAAAGGTTTTCGGACAATGACGATCTCTGCACTCTAAATGGTAAGGGGGGGATAATTTCTCTGGCCGAAATTTTGGCCACAGCCATTTTTTGAGAGTCTGAAACTTTGGCCTATAATTCAGTTACCCATTTTCTAAGCATTAAGAGAATGGCACAAATTCCCTATTGGCATTGTGCACTGGCCAAAATAGGCATGTGCAATTCCCATATGTGCAGTGCGCTACAAATTTTCTGAGGACATCATGGGTTGCCACATAACTATTTTGGCAACATGAATACTTTTTTGGAGGAGAGGGGGATTTGGCTAATCAGAAAGTACCAAATATTATTTGTATTTACTTTGTATGTCAAAATTTTTGCAAGATGTTGTATTCCCTTTTTACATGTAAAAATGCCAGGTATAAAATCAAAAATAAAATTCATCATAAATAATTTTTAATATGATGTATATCTATATCTTATTCTGATGCAAAATGAAATGTTGTGTTTTCTTATTATTGGTAAATATTACAAATTTAAATATAAGATTTGATGCATTCCTATTAATTCTATGGATACTTGCGTATTTTCGCAATCACCTTAGTAGTAATCGCCCAACTCTGGCAACCATGCACATAACAGTTCTTTAGTTAACCATATCCATTGAGAGTTTCAATCCAAAACTTAACCGAATCATTTTTTACTTCTGTAAAAAATCGCCAATCTCCACCAAGGTGGTTACCAGTAATAATATGTACCAGTTCTACTCCTTTATTTAAGTAATTGATTAAAATGAAGGATATGAAATATGATAACTATAAGTAGAATTTAACTTTTCTTCTTGCATTTAATTTATGTAAATTCTATTTTAATCATGTTAAAAAATCATTGTTTGTTATGGGCAGAATTTTAAAGGATTAGGGGTTAAATGGCATTTAACAGTAGCTGTTAATCTGTTCACGTCTTCATAATCAATACATATCTTGCATTGGTTTCAAATTTAAGAATATTTCTGTATTGCACACTTTTCTTTGTAGGATTTTGCTAACAAAATTCTCATTGATGAATAAAATTTAAGTTTGTACCACATTGTAAAAGGGAGAAATCTGTTAACCAAGTGAAATCAACAGAAAAGAAGCAAATTTGTTTTTAAAAACAGTATATTTCCTTTTAATCTAAAAACTATGATGCATTTTCTTTCATGTCTTTCCATGTGTTTAAGTTATTTTGTGTGAAACTAACTTCCATTTTGTTTCAGCTGCTATGGCTTTCTTTTGGTTTGTAACATTTTGTTACTTAAGTGATTCTTGGAGAAAAGCCCCTTATCCCAAGCATGGATATGGTGTAAACAACTTGAGGGGTGCTATTGCCTTCAGTTTCTTTTCAATTTTTGTCTGGGTAAGTACTTTAAAATATGTTCAGTAATTTTTCTCACTTACTCAGTTATTTCCCTTTCTACGTGAGAATTGAGAATGTCATGAAAATGAAATTGTTAATAATTTAGACTCATTTCAAAAGGAAGAAAGTAATATTTTCCATTCAAGGGGACAGAGGGAATAATTTGGTTATTGAATTTAACCACTGTGGACTAAAATGATTAGTTGGTATAGTTTTTGCATGTTCTTTTATTTAGTTATCATTTGATTGATTTTGCTCCTTTGTTATAAAATAAGATTCTACATTATAATGTGTTGAATTAGCTAATAGGTAAAAGGTTTATTTTCCTTCCCTTAAACCTAACTTATTTTTTTCCTTAAATAAGTTCCCACTTCAGTTCCCTAAATGTATTTAACATGGCAAGCCTACTGTGCTTGGTTAAAGGCCGATCTCTTTTGATCTCGATGTAGCATTAAGTATGTTAATTGGAAAGATGAATATTTAAATTAGACTTTCAAGTAACGTTATAGACTGCTGGGGTCTTTGAAATATTTAAATTAATGGAATAGACTGTTTTGGTATTTAAAATATTTAAATTATATGTTAATTTATATGTCAAGTAATTTCTAAATATAGTGTATTATTAATGGGGAATTTTCATTTCATTACAACTGCAATTTTTATTGAATTTATCATTCAGTTTTTATTAAATTGTTTTCTTAGTCATTTCTATTAAATATGAGTATTCTAATATATATTTTCCTATGTATGTTGGGAAAAACATGGCATTCTAATTTCATCAGAATGTTGGTACTAAATATTTATTAGCTTTACATTGTGGCATTAATGAGGCTAGTAAATAACGAACTGCTAATTTAGTGGCTAAAACTGCTAATTTAGATTGAATTAGCAGCTAATTAGCTAAAATTAATTTAATTAGCTGAAACTAATTAGCTAAAACTGCTAATTCAGATTGGATTAATTTTAACTGTTTTAGGTTTTACTCCTTTGGGAAATGTAAATATAATTCAGCTTATCTATTAGAAAGTGTCCACTGTGAGAGAAAGTATCATGTTTCACATATAATATTCATATGCTTTGCCTTGAATAATAATTCCATTTCTGATATTTAATGCCACCAGTTTAGTTTCTGCCTAAGGCAGGGCTTTGTGAAATTTGTTACTAACTCAACTGAAACAGATAACTGAGATGTATAATTTCCTGAGATTGTTGTAATGTGCAAGTGTAACTCTGTATGTATTCTTATGCAGCTGTGTGCGTTGCAGAATCTTATACACTGCCCAACAAAAGAGTGAACCATGAGAGTTTGGGTAGAATGTAATATCAATTGATACACAGATAAAGCATACATATGTAAATAAGTGATGCAGTTTATAGAAGATTAAATTTATATGGTTCATCTCGAATCAGTAAGATGTATGATCACCCCTTGTGGAGATGCAAACTGCAACCACCATGAAGTACAGATGTAGTGTAGGGATAGTATCCTGAGGGATGGAAGTCATATGCTCTGAACCCTTCTGCAAAGTTAGTCCTCCAATAACAGCTGGGGCAAGCAGACAAAAAAAAAATGACCCAGATATGCTCAATTGACAAAATATTAGGTAACATCGCAGGCCAAGGAAGCTATAGGACATTCTGCAAGGCTTGTTGGCTAATAAATGTGGTGTCGCATAGTCCTGTTGGAAAACACCGTTTTGCAGCCACTGAAGGTAAGATAGCACAACTGGCTGCTGCACCTCATCAATGTGTTGTCATGCGGTCATTGTGCCTGGGATGTGTAATAGAAATGACCTGTTGTCATGACTGATTGCATCACAAACCATTATGCTACGTTGACATGCAGTGTGGCGTTCAACAATAGTAATCAGATTGGCTCTATGTCCCCGTTGGTGCTATACAGTTAACCGGTGATTATCATCAGACAAACAAAACCGAGACTTATAGCTGAATATCACATTGTGCCATTCAGATATGCAAATGGCTCGCTGAAGACACTTCTTTTGCATCAGTGGTTTGATGTTAATGGCTGCCTGTCTTTGCAAAGTGCAGCTTGTGTGCAAGATGCTTTCAATCAGCTGTTGGAAAACTGTTCTCCCAGATATTGGAGTATTCAAGGCTCCCTACACATTCCGTAAAATGTTCTTAGTAGTCAAATGGGAGTCCACCACTGCTTCTCTTCGTATGCATCGATCTGTGCATTCTGTAGTACATCTAGATGGACCTGGTCTTTCATGACTATTTACTTTTCCATCATTAATCCATCTAGACTAAACTGTATGCACAGTTTTCTTTTACACACTGTGTTTTATGCACAGTGTAGTTCATGTTTTCATCATGTATAATGTGAATTTTAAACGCATCCTTCCCTTAGCAGATAGCTTTCATGGGATATATGTTAATCAGATCAACTGATAAAATTTTACCATATAATTTATTACATATTTGCAGCACAACATAACATGACAAAATCTCGGTTCACAAACTTAATTTGTTCATAAAGCCCTATTCCTCAACCAAAATGCTTATTAACTAAAATAATTTTTCCCTTAGGAAATAATGTAAAAAATTAATTAACTCATTCTTAGGTCACAGATGATTACTTACTTAAGCATTATAACAGTACTTTGTGCGCAAGTTCATAACCCAAAGCTAATGCCAGTTAGTTAATATAACAGAAGATAAACAGATGGCCCACCAGTGGCTGATAGAAGTGACAGTTGATAGAAGCCCACATCTAGCAGTAAAGAGCATACAGCTTTAGCTTAAGAGCTTCTATTTAAGTATCTGGACTTGAGCTTCATTGTTGGAAAACTGTCTTGTATCTCAGAAATTTGGTGCAGAATTTAGGTCTTGAGTTTCAATGTAGAATACATTAAGCACTATAAATGTTATGTGAAATAAAATATTTACATTGTCAAACTTGTTATTATAAAGTATTTTAAACTGTCATATGTGTTTAATTATAAAATTCATTCAGAACTGGATTTAAAAAAAAAACACTTAGTTTATATATATATATATATATATGTAATAAAGCAAAATTTAGAAGTACTGATGTGGGAACACTGAGACGTAGAAACGCAGAAAAATACTGACGATGAAGCATGTAGATGGTATACTGAAGAGGAAGCATTCTGATTGTGTAGTGTGCTAACATGTTGTGTTCGGAATATCTAAGAAACTTGGCAGTCGAAGCAGTTTTAATTCCATTTTTATTTGCAACTGACTTTTGTGGCCACAATCACTTAACACTCTAGTCATGCCTAATCATGGAATATTTACATTTTTGATATTATTACGATAGAAAGTGAAATTACATCGTAGCAGGGTAGAGAGTGAAGCTGAAGTGTGTAGTTATGCAATATGGAAGCAATCTAGAAATGACGCAATATAGAGAAGTTATTACGATTTTTAGAACAGAGAGGGAGAATTAGTTTTACCATTAGTTTATAAATTATAATTTTGATTCATATATATTTTATCATATGTATATATATATTCTACATAAGCTATTCAGAAAGTAAGGAACATTTTGGAATTAAAAAGAAACTAAATACAAGAAAAAAATTTATTATATACATCAGAAAGCATGGCTAAAATACTACTTTTCTACATAGTCACCAAACAAATTGAGGCACTTATCATAGCATGAACAAGTTTTGAAATTCCTTCGTCATAGAATTCTCCTGCCTGTGATCTCAGCCACTCAGTGACGCGCACCCGTAGCTCCTTGTTGTCATCAAAACGCTGTGTTGCTAGCCAGTTTTTCATTCTTGGAAACAAGTGAAAATCACTAGGTTGAAGATTGGGACTATAGGGCGGATGAGGGAAAACCTCCCATTTGAATGAATTAAGGAGTTCTTGAGTGCGGTTTGCTGTGTGAGGTCGGGCGTTGTCGTGCAAAAACAAAATTTGGGAAGTCAACTTTACTCGGCACTTTTTTTTAACTGCTCTCCTAAGGTTGTACAGAGTTTGACAATACTGATCAGAGTTTATTGTGGCATCATGTTCGAGAAAATCAATCAGAAGCACACCTTGCCTATCCCAAAACACAGTCGCTATAATCTTCTTTGGTTTGCAAACATTTTCTTGGTCTTTTGGAGGAACTTGTTTGCCCCCACTGCATGGACTGTAATTTTGTCTCAATTCATGTGTCTCACCAGCGTCTCATCACCAGTTACGGTTCGATCCAGTAATGAATCACCATGTCTGTCGTAGGCCTCCAGAAATGTCGAAGCTATCCCCCATTCGCTGACCTTTGTGGTGGTCTGTAAGCAATTTCGGCACCCATCTTCCACAAAATTTGCGGTAGCCTAGCTTTTGTGTAACAATTTCAAACAACAAAGTCTGTGAAACTTGTGGAAAACTAAGCAAGCTCCGTTATTGTGAAACGGCAGTTTTCATGAATCTTTTCATCTACTTTGGCAACCAGTTCGTCAGTCACAATGCTAGGGTGTCCAATCTTCTCTTCATCGTGAACGTTATTTCGGCCACTTTTAAACTGAATGCACCATTTTAAACTGAATGCACCATTTCCAGATTGAACTTTCATTTATTACGTTGTTTCCATACAGTTCACACACTTGCCGATGAATTTCCATAGGTTTTTAAGTTTTTTGCCAACAAAAACCGTATTACAGACCGCACATCACAACTGGCGGGATTTTTAATTGCAGCGCACATTTTAAATTAGAATATCAAAAAAATGGGCAGCGTGGAAATGTTCCCGTTGTGATGGCTGGACGGCGACTGAGATGCCGAGCACACAGACACCAAAATATACGTGATCGGTGTGCACCTAGCGACGTAAGATGGAAACGTTCCTTACTTTCTGAATAGCCCTTGTTACATCTGTTTCTACAAATATTCACTTAAGTCAGTTTTAGATATCCTGTACTTTCAGGTAAATAAAGCTTAAATAAATTAGCAATAGTCTTTACTGCTTGGTTACTGCTGCTGCAATCTTTGTAAAGTTAGTCAAATTTAACTGTAAAAAA